ACAAAATTTAAAAAAAATACTTATCCTTTCTACGCAAGAGTTCAGTTTACTAACTGTTTAACTTATGTTATGTTATAGGTACCTATATAAATATACAGTAAATAAAGAAAAAATATACACAGTGTGACACAGAATGGGATACCTTTTGAATGTCTGTACTTACGTAACATCCTCTTAATAATAATAATCTTTAATAAAGAAAAGAAATACTAAGGGTCCAACAATTGAGCCCTGAGGGATTCCAGAGATTGCAAAGTAATTAAACGATAAAAAACCATTGTATGAAACAAATAGAACTCTAGATAAATATGATTTTAAGAGAGGTACCTACTTAATGAGTTGTGAAAATTAAATTCGATAAGTTTGATCGAGAGGATATGATGGATATGATATGACAGAACAGAACATAATCTAGTCTATCAAAAGCTTTCGTAAAATCTGTATAAATAGTATCCACTTGACCGTCTTTATCAAAGATAAGAGACAAATTGAATAGATACTAATCAATTTATTACACTGGATCATAAAACCAGGCTGGTCTAATACTAACTGACCCTTAACAATATTATGGGTACACCTACATGATTATATAGTATAATTTCGACAATCTTTCTCGTAAGTCTGCGTTTATAATAATTAGATATACCTACTTTAGCTTGTTTCCAATCAAATGGAAATGCATTTGTCTTCAGATATACAGCTTTTTATAACAAATTAGGGTAATTTGAGATTTGGTCTAGATCTTTTTGAAGCTAGTAATATATCAGGTTCAATTATAGGTTCAAGATTATTTAATATATGTATATTGAGATTAGAATCCGACAGGTCGGATTGTATGGAGGTGAACATTGTCTATATAATTTTTATAAGTTGTCCATAAAAGGGCGGTTTATATATAGGTACCTAATCCATTAGGCAACTTTGGCACTCAGAAATGACTTAGTTGGTAGATCCTAACAGCCATTCACTTAGAAGTGACAGAGACCTGGAAAACCTCATTAATTAGGGTGATTATTAATCACCGACTGGTATCAATCTCTCGCATTGATAAAAGCCAATGATGTTCCATCCTACCATACCAGCAGAGAGATTGAAAACTTGCTCACTAATTGATTTAGATGGTCCGGCCACAGGGTTCGAACCCGTGGTCTCATCAACAATAATTTTGAAGCCCCATACATTTCGTTCATCTTCGATGGTTTTGTCCGTCGGATAAAATTGCCGAGGATGAAATAAAGGTTTAAAAATTGTCGATAGACTTACTTACTTAAAACTTATTGCAATTTGTCTTAGTTTTTTTTTTTCAATCCAACTATTTGAAACGTTTATATTGCATTTTGATTATTTTTTCTTTTACTTTTAGTGAAACCTACGTCTTTATATAGGTATTATTTAATTAGTAGGTAGTATTTAAGCTACACTATTTTACCTATCCAGAAAATTTGTGGTAGTGGACAAACGTTTGGGAAGCTTGCTTGCAACAATATAATTGATTACATGATTCCATTTCTTAAGAAATGTTCATAGAAAGGATATAAAATAGTTTAGTTTTTAGGTATGTAGGTATTGCCTTGAGGCAATTGGATACAGGGTTCAACTAAAATGCGTATTAAACGCTTCCAATAGAAACAGTGACTGGAGATAATGTTTAAAATTAATAGAAGGCTATGGTATGTTTCCATTTATCTTATCTTAAAAAAAACGGGGCACCTTTGCAACATGCAACAAGAATACACTATCAAACAATTTAAAGAAAAAAGTAGAGCAAAATAAAATTGTGTAGCAAATTTAAATAAAATAACCGTTGTTTTTTTTTGTAATTAAAACAAAGACACGACTTTTTTTAAATTGTAACACCTTAAATTTCGAAAACGGAACAACGGAACGGGATGGTGTAGTAAAAAAATTATAGGTACCTACCCTGTATAAAATATGTAGAAGGCTAAATTTGCAGCCTTATATTGAATTATTATTAAAAATTATTTAAAGATAACCTGCTCGATTGCACCAATCGACAAACATAGTCGCTATAGGGGTTTACGAAAACTGTGATCTGAGAAACAGCTGTTTTACGATTTTGAGAAGTATTTTTGTATTTAAATGAAATATAAGTATATTCCTGACAACTGTTTTTGAATGTCATAGCATATGCAGTCGAGACAAACGTACAATTTAACATCAAAATCTTGTTAACAATCTTTTTTTACACACTTTTTAACATAAACGGGTTTATTTTCCGAACGATAAGATCAGTGATCCTACTGACCAGGTTAATATACGATCAGTTTCCGAAAAGCTCTTATGTCGATCACGTTATTTTACTTCAATACCTAATTTGTAATTCATTATAGTAGTCACAGTTACTAACTAACTCTTCAAAATAATGTTGGTCAATCCAGGCTTGTTTTGTTTTTTTTTGTAAACATAATAATATGCTTTATGTGATCTGCGAGTAAAAGTTTTTTTCTTAAGGAAGTAATACCTACTAGAACACCGCATATTTTTAGGGAACTCGTAAACAGTTACTACATTCACTGCCTCCGCTAAGTGCAGTTTTCAAAACAACCATTTTCATTTTATGCGTACCTAATGTTCACAAGTTAACAGGGCAATAATTAGTGAAAATAGAGCACTTACCTGGCGGAAACTTCATTTTCTCACAGAAATATATCGTCCCAGCGCACATATTACACAATCTAGTTCACGACACATAATAAACAAAATTTGTAACACAAAAAAATTTTCTCACAACAACGCTTAGATGAGATAAAATGGCATAACAACAAACTAGTTCAAAAGAAGTTGAATTGAGGCATGCGCTGTAGGCGGAGTGAAGACGAGGATGGTCGACAATCACGTTTATGTCGGTATTCCAATAACATTGAGTTTAAAAAATTGCTAACGTTAATGTAAATAAAACAACAACTAGGCAGAAGAGTTTGAAATTAGTTACACTGGCATTATTTTAACAAATTTTCGTATATAATTGTTATTTCTGTAGGCAATAGTTGTGAAATTTATTAGCTCAGTACTATACGAAAATGGATGTAAACGAAGTTATCAATGGAACAGCATGCAGCTAACGACACATGCGTACAAATCTGTTTATACATACGCGGTTGTGTGAGGTCATCACCTGTTGCTTTTTGACAATTTTTGTGAGGTTTGAACTGTATTTATTGCAGTAATAGTGCGTTTTTAAATGTTTGTCGTTTGATGCTGTTATTTTTTTCGTAGAAAATCAACGATGGTGAAGCTGAAATCAGAAGTTTGGTACCAAGAGTTTTAGGTAGGTGGCCTGACTTTTTATTTCTGTTAGTTTTTATTTTTACACAGTTTAGCATGGTCTTGCCGAAAAATTTGAACTTTATGGCTTTAGTTTGGGTAAAATGTATGAGCTTTTACTACAAATTTTTGGTCTACCTTTTTCAAAAGTTCTTTATAAGTAAGTGGAAAATGCAACGATATTCTATCAAGTGTGTATTTAAATGCCTAAGTAGGTATGAGGTAGATGAATTAATAACGCTTTTTATTTCGATTTTTTATAACCGTTTGAGTTAAATGATATACCTACGTGGTTCCAAAATATGTCAAGTTGTTATTTTCATAGGTAAAATGCGGCAGCAGCATTGCAAATCAGCCTTTTAGCAGCAACTTCAAACAAGGAGAAAGCAGCAGTAATCGGTGAAAATCAAGTAAGGTGCATGCTTTTTTAATAGTGTGGGTGTGTGTATATTCATTGTACACTATTTGAAAACAAGTTTGAAGGTGTTAAAAGCAAATTGATCTGGGTGACAAAATTCACTTGTAGGTAGGTAGCCTAGATACCGAATCAATTTTCGTCTTATGTTCTTGCAGATAGATTTAAATTAACTTCTTTATTTAACACAAGTAGCATGTTCTGATAAAATACCTACCTAGATCGTTTCCGATTTTTTTTCCATTCTAAGGAGAGATTCATTTTCAGCTTTAGCTTCATGCAATTTTTCATGGTTTAAAGATAGTTCTTATTTTTAAATTTGGCTACCAGTTTAAGAAACCATTTTTGAGTTTTTAAATAATGATGGTAACAAGACAAAACTGGATTACTGCTACATTTTATGCAAAAACAAACAAGCGTAGGTAATAAACCAACGTAATTATGAAAGTTAGGCCCCTATAAGAATACATATAATATGATGGCCAAAAACCGATTTTTAGGCTGCTAAAAGAAACACAACTCTAATTATGTAATTTTAAGAGAGTCCCGTTATGGTTAAGGTAGGTTTATAGTTATTTTACCAACTAATAGATGTACTGCAAGTGAATATTGTGGGTTTTATTTTTATTAAGCTATATTTAGGTGTTTGAAGTTAGCAAAAATGTCGCTTAGACCGGTTTGCTTCCATCCCCTGCAATTGATATATCTCTCAAAGTGCGTTTAAAGCCCACGGCGCCGCTACGCCTATGAAATGTTGACAATCCAGTGAAAAACGGGGACATAAATAATTGATAGATAAATCACACATTGTTATATCAGTTTGCATTTAGTTATCTGCGGCAGTCGCCGTTATCTCTGGTAAATAAATAATACAATAACCACGAACTGGTACAGAGGAATTAGTGTACTACAGAATAGGGATATTTTGGTGCAATAGCACCCGATTTTAACAGTGTAGTCGTTCTCGTTATCCGACAAAAGCTGGCAGAATACAAACTGGCGGTAGAACGGTTTATATACCTGAAATATATAAGGGGAAAATAAATACATGGCTCTTGTGCTAGCGCGCTCTCTCTCGCACAGCTGTGAACAAAACGCATCAGTCTGCCGAGTGAGATCGTGGAGTGCTTCAGAAGTAACGTTTCAGCGTGGAAAATTCGTTTGTTTTCACAAAGTACGATGAAAAATAAGGCTACGGCTGCTCGTCGCCATAGAAACTATCATAATCTCATGGTTTTTAGGTAGTCCGAGCGAGTTGGCGAGCGGGAAGTGCGAAAAAACCGGCGAAATGTGCTGTTATATAGGTTATGTTTGCCGTTAAGGGCGATTGTTGTACATTTTCGAACTACGCGAGTGTTTATTACCACTTTGCTTTTTGTTTTGTTGCCTGCCGGAGAGGTGTATGCGAATTTTACCCCGAGTTTCCCCACTGATCGAGGTATTTTTAGTGCAAATTAGGAAAATTTGTTGAATGCCTTTCACGACTTTTATTTATTGTGGCGAAAGGCATGTTGCCGTGAATCTTAATCGAAATATTTTTAGTGAATTTCAATGAGGCAGAGTTGGAAATATTTGTTTTAAATTTGAGTGCGCTGTGCCTAGCTAAAGTGACAGTGCAAACAAAAAAAGTGTGGTGCGCTAGTGGAAATCAAAATTTCTTGGATTACAGTGTCTTTAGGATTACCATGAGGATATTATAGGATATTACGACGCAAACCAAGGTAAGGATCACTCCCTTTTATTTAGAAAGTTGCCCCTACTACTAATTTTACTTGTATTTGTTGAGTATTATTGTAGTTTTTCTCCCCCTAACAATTGAACAACTTGCCAAGTGTCAAATCGCCGCGACAGCAAAATATAATGTCAAGTATCCATCAAAAATCACAAAATTCCTCGTTATTTCCTAAACAAACAAGTCTTCCAACTTTCGTAATATCAAATAAATCGTACAAATTCTTCCCCGAACCTTGCCAATAAACCCAAATACTTTTATAAGGTATCCCCGTGACCATTTTGACTTAGAACGTCTCATTCTTTCTAGAGTAATAAAGTTTTACGACCTTTTTGTTGTAATACAGTATTTTTAGGAGTTTTGGGTGGCATCCAAGACTGTTCTCGACAACATGGGCGTTTAGGCTTTTTTAAAAACCCAGCCTTACCCGTCAATTTACTTATTCATAATTTCGGACGCGAGAACAGTACTTTTAGGTCAATGACTGTCCCTTTAAAACGGAATACGTCTTTAATTATGTCATTCTAAAGAGATTACCGCTGCACGTAACAACTTTTGAGAAGCGTAATCCACTTATATCACGATTATTAAACGTATTACGTATCGAGGTAAGTAAAATTTATAGCACGTCCCGGAGATGTGTTGGCACGCCGCTTTTTTAGAATGTACTGCACTTGCAGCCTACCATTAGAACCGCCAGACTCTGGTATGTGTGCTGTAGCGAGTACAAGTGCTGATTGTGTTTTGATAAAGCCAATTGTACGGATGATTTGCATGTGGAACGTAACTCAGCACAGAAAAATGCACGGGCCTACGTTCCACCCAGCATGCCACCGACTGAGCCTTGTTTTTTTAAGTGTCTGCGGTATTCCATCGAAAAATTAGCGCTCAACTTTGTGATATAATTAAATTCGGCTACTTTCTAAATAGTAAAAGGTTTGAAACAAGCAAAAAATGCGTATTTTTATAGTTTTTGTGGAAGTAAGTGTAAACTTTGATAAATCAATACCATTTTGGGTGCTTTTGTCGTAAATTTGTGAACGCTAATTGAAAAACCACCTCGCAGAGGTGGCACTGAGTCATTTTCACACAGGTAAATGGCCTGCGGAGTGTAAAAAGGGCCTCCGACCCGGTGAAAGGGCCATATGACAGTAATAACTAACCTGACAGAAACATGTGATGCCCAATCGGGGGTTAGGAGTCCGTATTCTGTGTCGATGGTATTGAGGGGTTGGTAATAACGTCACAAATTACGGTTTGAATTATAGCTTTCGACTCGGCAGAGTTTGAAATGATAGTATACGCGTTTCGGACACTCAAATTCTTTTTTGCCGTCTTGAGGAGTGAGTTAATGACCTCGGGTTCGGCGTATGTCGAGTTTAAGTACTGCGACACGCTTCTGGTCTAAAATAATTTACATAGAAAGTACAAAAATGAGGTAAAGGTGGTGTTTTGTAAGTGTTCTTCAGCCGGGTTTTGAAAATTGCTGGGTAAAATACGGGGTGTGGCGAAAATGTTTCGGAAGATGACGCAATTGTAAAAATAAAAAAAAAACTGCTTCCTAAGACTTTTGTACTAAGACCCTCCTTTTTTTTCGAGGCCGATATCTCAACAACTGTAAAAGTTTTTAACTAGTCATATTATGGGAAGCAACTGCTCTGTGGCAAGGCAAAATAATGTAATAGAATTCACATCAGAGAAGCAATCTTTTATTTTTTGCTTTGGAGGAGATGGTCGAAAAATAAGGAATGTATTTCAGAGAAAAATCAAAGAAAATCCTGAAGTCTTCATTGGAGTGAATGGAATCACATTTGGATCATTTCTGTTACATAAACTTCATATATTTTGAATTTTGAATTTTATCAGATACGTGTCACATAATTGAAAATATTTCAAATTATGCGAAACTTACAAGAGGAAAAGCACTTGCAAAATCATTAGAAATATATTAATGAACACTGGCCCCCAAATTAGTGCCTTGTGGCATACCTGACACTGATAGGCTTTTGTTGAAAATAGGACATTTATTTCACAAAGACAAGGACAACAACAAATATTTATTTTAAAAAACGTATTATTTTATTCATTGTTCACTGTTTTTAAAATTGTAAGTTTACTGGAAACATGTATTTTTTAGAATCACCAAATACTTGTGTACATGTCAAAGAACAGTAGCCCCAAGAGAAAGCCTTGCGGTAGCCCTAATGCTGCTAGGATTTTGTTAAAAATAGAAAATTTATTTCACAAAGACAGGCCAACTGCAAACATTTATGAAAAAAATATTTTATTCGCTGTCCACAGTTTTTAAAATTTTAAACTAACTGGAAACATATATTTTTTTATCTACCAAAGATATCAATTTCATATCATTTCTGTTACTTGAGAGATTTTTTATGTCGTACTGAATTTTATCAAAAAAGTGTCAGCCACAATCGGAAATATTTCAAATTGTGTGCAAACAATAAGAATTTACAACTGGAAAAGAACTTGCAAAATCATTAGAAAGATATTAGCACCCTGCATATCTCTTAATATCAACTTTTTGACTACGGTAAGGTCGTAGTATTCATATGTCTAGCATCTACTCTTGCTCTGTGACCAATTACGTATGAGACACCTTGTATATTATATGTTCAATTTTTGCCGTAACAGTTTTGCTAGGCTTTTAAATTTGGTGGGCAGTTTGAAGTCTCTGAAATGTTTTGTTTTGAAGGATTAAATTTACTCTTAATTCCTAGAGAAGTACCTAAATATGCAAATTGTATCGTTATCGTCGTCGGGGGATCGTTAACAGATACCTAGGGTATACGTCACAGGACAGAATTAAAGTTAAAATTACATTATTACAGGTACCTACACTAAAAAAAATCACGCAAATTTACTCAATTTTATTCAATAATGTATCAGTTTCTGTCCACATCCGATTGAGTGACATTATCACTCTATTAGTATAAGTACAACTAAAATTTTATGAGTGAATTGCAACAGAAGTGAGTGAATTTTACTCAAATCCGAGTTTCTGCTATCGAGTGAGTGACTTTTGATTATATTCTGGGTAAGTATCTACGTAAAAACCAATTAAGGATTGACTTTTTCTCTAATATGATTTAAATTTAACTATTTAAGTATTATTGAGCAATTTTGTACTACGAAAATTTCCAAGAGGGCGGCGCCCCAAAGCTCCCACCGCCGCTATATGTACTGTTTATTTATTCAAGTCAAGAATAAGCCAATAAAGTTCTGTTATCGGAAATACTGTAACAATTTACCGCCCATGTCTCTCTACCTTGAGTGTCAAATGCGGTTAATTCCAAGAAAGTGACCCAGGGGTCTACTTTAACAATAAAAATGTGCAGGCGATTATTTATCGGCTTTTTTTTACTATAAATCGGCGAAAAACTCGAAAATTAGAAATATTTCTTTCCTCTTGTATGTATTTCGTCCCGAAATATTTGTAATTGGGAAATTTTCCCAAGTGGAACATTTCCTAGTGCCTTTTCCTATAGTATTTATGTAACATTTCCCAAGTAGTACAAATTCCTTTTTTTATACCGCCAGTGAAAGGTTTTTGTGATGTAAAGCAAAACTCTACATTTTAGGGTTTTTACAAACTTCAACTGCACATGGATACAGGGGAGCCTCACGTTAGAAACCGCTTAATTCTCGTGAGAGATAGATTTCGCGCCCGTATCCCGTTTCACACAGCCCGAGACACGCGCTTGCGAAACCTGCGATTCTCTCGCCGGTTCTTTTTTTCCCAACGTTATTATAAAATAACGATAACGCGCTCTCGCCTCCCTTTGTGCAGTCTCGCCCGCTTTCGTTTCGTTTGTTTTTTCTTTGCGCCGAGAAACGGAACGTGAAAAATAACGCGGGGGCCCTTAGGCCGGGCTCTCTCGACTTTGATTTGCGTCTAAGTTAATTAAAAAGGAGATAAGGCTCGCCTCAGGGTGAACCCCCGTAATTGGGGACCTTTAGTTGCGAATTATTTACGTCCCGGTACCGGGAAGTTCGAGGTGGTGTCCGGAAATCGAGTCGAGTCCACAAATAATACGATTCGAGAAGAATATAAACAACAAACCGCATCGTCATCGGTAAAAATATAGCGTCAGTATATTCACTCGCTTGTTTACATTGACACAGTAGCGATTGTAGTCGTATAAAATCGTACAGGGTGATGATTTTATTATTCGTCTAGAGATTCATGAAGAGTCATTTTCAATATGCAATAAATAAATTCAAACTTGGAGATTAATTTTGAATAGAAGCTAGAAGCATTAATAATACTAGTCATTTTCAATAATTTTAATCATTGAATCTTCTGAAAAGGTGCATAAAACTACTTAATAATAATCGAAATTGTTAAAACTTATTGACAACATCTGGTGTCATGCCTGACTTACATACTACATAAAAACAGGTACATAATTGTGGCTGTAAATGGCATGTCGTCCGCTTTTTGTCCCGTTTTTTTTTTTTGTAGTATAGGTAATACACAATTCTATTTTAGTTCTCATTACAGAAATGTGTGCCTTTTGTGATGATAACTATTAGTGAACAAATGTTTAGTGACGTCATTCATTTGTCTGGAATCATTTAACTGTGTTCTGTGGCGAAATATTCATACTAAAATGACCTATCAATGCAGTAACATTGAATTAATCTATGAATTAGCTGCACAGCGTTAGGTATGCCACTTCTAAATAGGCACCCACCAACACCTGTAAACAGAGGCAACGCTATCAGTGAAGTCAGCGGTTCCAAAAATGTTTCCATCGTATCAACGTGGTAACTCGATTTATTTGATCTTCGGATATCGTTCTGGAATTTGTAATTACCCTGTACGTTCAGGCACCACGTGAAAACTAAAATTGAACAGAGCCCTAGTAAAAAGTTTATTGTTCTAGAAAATTTGTGTAATTTTTTTTTCTAAAACTCAGAACATAAATTTAACTTTGGGTGATATGAAACTTGCAATATGTAGGTTAT